GCAGGGCGAAATAGGGTTTCCCCATAGGGAATAGGGGAGTAGATTTTCTGATGAAGGGTCCAGGCCCGAAACGTCAGCCTTCCTGCTCCTATGATGCTGCTTGGCCTGCTGTGTTCATCCAGCTCTACACCTTGTTATCTCAGATTTTCCAGCATCTGCAGTTCCTACTTTCTCAAATGCTGGAGGTCAGTGGGTCAGGCAGCATCCACGGAGAGAGCAAGCTAACACTGAGTCTAGATGATTCTTCTGAGCTCTCTCGAGCAGTCATCTAGGCTCAACGTTAGCTTGCTCTCTTCATGGATACTGTCTTATCCGCTGTGATCTCCAGCATTTGTTGTTTTCAGAGAGAAATGCTCATTAGGGAAAAAATCTACACAAGCTAGGATTTTAAAAAAAAAAAACGGTTTTTCACATTTATTATAGGGTTTTGGTATAGTTTATATAGTTCATATTGGACCTTAATAGGGACCAAAAATTCAATACAGAATTCTGTATTCAAGTGGGGAGAATGTTAAAGATACATAGAATCTCTGAGACAAAACAGTATAAATGCATTCAAGGGAAAGTTGGTTAAGTACATAGGGAAGAAAATAAGATATGCAGGTAGCATGAGAAGTAAAGCAAAGCAGGCGAGATCAAGACAAATAGCCTCTGCTCAAAAGCTGAAGTTAAAAAGCCTGCCTATAGGAGATTTGAATGTATGTGGACAGTTGTTATCCAGTTGTATTATTAGCCTTAAAGTTATATCTTTAAACCAGATTACTAAGGATTAGTTGTTAACAATTAATTATACATGACAATGAGCAATTGAAGTTGAAGAGTACATAAAAAGCAGGTCTAATGCAAAAAAAAAAGAGCCTGTTTTGACCATGGGGGAAAGCTGCCTTACCTTGAGAATCAGTGGGAACTATCTGCTTGCGTGGTCTACATGGGCTCGTTCTCAACCCTCACATAGGTGGGCAAAGTACTGAAATTATTATGAAATGGGATTCAGCACATAACCCAAATAATATCAATATCAGGGCCTCTGCCCCCCTCGAAGGGACTTTCAGGTTTGGATGGATTCTAGAAACCATGGCCACAGACTTCACATCATTGGGCTGGGGTTTGCACAACTCGTGTTGTGGAATCAGACTTTGAGCTCCGAGTGCCAACTGTCACCCAGGAGTCTGTGGCAGCAAAAGGCAGTGAGACTTGTTTGGTGAATATGTCTAAAATAATTTAAGCCAATAGCTTCATTCATTGTTTTGCATACATCTAAAGTAGATTAAGCTAGTAGATTAGCTTGCAATTGAAGTGCACATCTTCTTGTAAGCATTTTGATCAGACCTTAAAGAACCTGTCAAGTACTTAAGAATACACCACTCAAAAGAGGAAGCTCGTGTGAAGCACAAACAGTTGCAAGCTACGAGGGCTGTAAGCTGATGGTAATTTCACACTTTACCTCTTTCTGGGTCTCTACCATCCAGGTCACTGGGGCCAGTTGGTCAAATCTCCCGGGTGACACATCTATTGTCAATCACATCAAACATTTCCAAGTTCCGAACACCAATTAACACAGCAAAGGGTGCATGGAGGAATCAGCCCCACTGTCTTCCCTTTTTTATTTATTGGGCATATGACAGCATCAGAAAGCAAAGATTCACAGGGCTGCTAAGTCCAGTGCATCAAGGGACACCTGAAATGCTACAGAGTTAGACAGTCTCACACAGGCCTGTTGAGTCCACGGCCCTTGATGTATGTAGATAAAGACTCATATTTGTATACCTTTCAAGTCAGGAGGCCCCCAGAATCCAGGGATTCCCTTTCTAAGGGGAGGCAATGGTCCAGTGGTATTATCGCTGGACTGTTAATCCAGAGAACCAGACAACATCCTGGGGACCTGGGTTCAAATCCCACAACGGCAGATGGTGGAATTTGAATTCAATAAAATATCTGGAATTAAGAGTCTAATGATGGTCATGAATCCATTGTTGATTGTTGGAAAAACCTATCTGGTTCACTAATGCCCTTTAGGGAAGGAAACTGCCGTCCTTGCCTGGTCTGGCCTACATGTGACTCCAGACCCACAGTAATGTGGTTGACTCAACTGCCCTCTGGGCAATAAATGCTGCCTAGCCCACATCCTGTGAATGAATTAAAAAATAAAAATCTATAGATATACCTGCATCAATGGACTGCAGCAGTTCAAGGTGGCAATTTACAAAGGGTAAGTAGGGATTTGTAAATTTTGCTGACTGGAATTACATTACCTGAAATGAATTAAAAAGGTGTTTGACAGCCGTTTATTTTGAACTGTTTTAATTTAACAAACAAAAGGCAATTTGTGCCTCTCAAAAGTTCACAACTGAAGTACATCTCCAATTAAGCTGCACATCTGCAGAAACACTAATGCAAATACTGGAGATCAGGAATTTAAATGCTGGAAAGCTCAGAAGATAAGGCATCTGTGGAGAGGTTAAAAATTTAATATTTCCAGTCTTGAGCTTTAATCAAAATTAAGGGATTTAAAAATCCAATAGGTCTTAAGCAGGTGAAAGATTCATGTGGGGCTGGATAGGGGGAGAAGAACAAAAAGGGAAGGTCTGAAATAAATAAAATGGACAGCAAGAAAAATTAGATGACAAAATATTTCATGGTACAAAAGCAGAAACGAAAGCTGTGCTCTAGTTGCCACTACAGCTACACAAGCAAAGTACAGGATAAAAGGAGGGAGAAATAGGAGAGAAACAAAAAACAAGTAATTATTTTAAAGTACCATTAAAGTGGTAAGGGAATTGATACCTTTCAAACAGCTGCAGGAATTTTGCTCTTCTTCAATAACAGTGCCATGACATCTTTTACATTCATTCAAAACTAAAATTGGTTGAAAATCTCATTTTGAAAGCTAGCACCCCTATGGCACAGAATTCTCTCCATCCTACTCTGGACTGTAATTCTGTATTATGTGCTCAAGTTTTTGGAGATTTGAACTGTGACCATCAGGCTCAGGCAAGAAATCTATCCACTAACTCACTATGAACCTGTTACTCATTTCAGATAAATTGAAAACAAAAACAGAAATTGCTGGAAAAGCACAGCAGGTCTGGCAGCACCTGAGATCAGGGATCAGAGCTAACATTTTGGATCCTTAGAACTGGAAGGGTCACCGGACCAGAAACATTAACTCCAATTCCTCTTCACAAATGCTGCCAGACCTGCTTAAGTTTGCCAGCAATTTCTGTTTTTGTTTGATTTACAGCACCCTGTAAGTCAGACATCTTTCAGTTTTATGGCAGATTAATTGGATACTTATTACATAGAAATCCGTAAAAAGAGCATTGCTGTTATCCCTTGTTAGATGACCATGGGGGAAACTCAGCATCACCCTTGTTGGTTCCACTAAATGGTGAGATTGTGGAACATATCATAGGGAGTGGTTTGGTGTGGATGAGGTGGAGGAGGGCAGGGGGAAGAGGATGGAATAAAGAAAAGGCAAAAAAACTGAATGAATGACAAAGGCTAGATTGAGAATAAAAAAGGAGACACAGGAAAAGTTTAAATTTTTGAACAATATACCACTTAAAAGAATTAAGACTCCATAAATGTCAATGCTAAAATACAATAGATTAGCAGTCATTAACAAACATCACTTGTTTAAAAGAACGTTAATTACACCTTGTTTAATGGTCATTTATTGCACAAATTATAAAAGCAGAGACAAAGTTGGGGTCCCACTTAAGAGTAAATTGAACAAACATGAATCTCCAGAACTTGCAATTACATTTTTTAATTCCCCTGAACTTACTAGCTGTTTGTACATTTGGAATGGAGTGTGTCACTACCATGGTCTGGTATTTACAGCAAGATCTAATCCTTTATTTAGTGAGGATACCAAAAACATAGGAAGTTGTTTTTGCAGTGTAACGCAAAGCATAATAGATGAATGTATTTACCATGGTTACAGGAAATGGGGAAAATATTGTCTGATATATTAACTCAGTAAATATCTCTGTCAGTGAGCAGCTGAGCTTCACAGGCCTGAAAGGTTTGATTTAATCCAGAGTTTTCATCACCTTAGTTGAATTAAAAAAGTTTTTTTTGGAAAAGGTAGGTAACATGGATGTAATCACTGCAACAATAGAATGAAAAATATATGGACAACTTTATTCAAAACAATAAAAAAAAGGACCCTGAAACAACAGTAGCATTTTAAAAAATCTTACATTCATTAATCATGGGGCATTAGTGTGAAAGCATCATTATACAGAATTTCATAATCTGGCTCAATAACTTCTGTCACTGTCTGGCGCAGATCACTCAGTGTAGAGACAGAGGATGCACCTCCTGCATTCAGAATCTTTTCAAAGAAATTGTTCCACAACTCCAGATACAGCAACTCCATTCTGTAAAAATATAAGACACAAACGTATGTAGCAACTTTCACAGGTTTCACATTTTAAACTGCTTTGAAGCTAAGTATTTCTGAACTAGTGCAAGGTAGGGAAATGTGGGAGCCAATGGAGCTAATCACTAGCTAAGCTGTTTCAGTGATGATAGTTGAGAGATATCAGGATACCGAGAGGGAACTTCCTTGCTCTTTTGTGATACTTTTTTTAAAAAAAAAAGTTCATCCAAGGGAACAGACAGGACTTCAGATTAGCATCTCATCTGAAAGGTGGCACTTTAGACAAAATGTAGTACTGCTCTATTCTCCACTGTAATGTCAGCATGGATTAGGGTTTTAATCCAAACCTGACTCAAGATGAAAACAATACTCAGTCGAGACCATTTTTTGTTAAAGCATTGCTAGGAACAGAGTACTCACTCTAAAAACGACACCCATTTGTTAAATAAAGTGGATTAACTGCTAAACAAGCACGAGCTAAAGCAATTTAGGAAACTACTGAGGAATGTCACATTGGTGTGATGGAAGGTAAAAGATTTAATTAGAGTGCTTTGAATTCCTGATTTCCATTGCGCTATATGGTGGTAAAGGAAACATTTGGTGCTTCTGTTTTAGCTTTTTGTACTATTAGTTTGTGAGCAATTGCATCAACAAGCATCTAGGATCAGCTCTTTTAGTGTCACCTCTTTGGCCACTTAGCATTAGAGACTCCTGGTGAGTAGGGTAGTAAGAGGAAATACCAAAAGAAAACCTTAAGATGGAGAAAGTTGAAGAAAGTTAAAAAAAGGTCACTCTTGGCAGAGACCACTTTCTGGGTAAGGTGGAAGGGTAGTATATTTACGTTGAACAGAATTTAACTTCATCTTTGGGAACAGTGGATCTATTATAGTGCATGGTTGGTGCTGTGGTGGTGCAGTGAGTACTGAAGTAGTCATCTACTAGCATCCCTCTTAAAAGCTTCGTTACTGGGTAGAAAATTCAGTGGTGATGAATGAACAAATGGTAAGCACAAGTATAATGATTGATATACCTACAAAGTGCTAGTAGCAATGCCTAGCCCATGTTAAAGAACTGCTCAATTTATAGGTCACTACATTAACAATAATGCAGACTCAAACTTATTTAGGAACACAAACAAAGCTCATCGATTTTCTATTTCATTTAGAAACAGTGCACAGTACAAAACAAATCAAAATACCTGGAGGACGTAGGCCCAAGTATCCACAGTGAACCCTGTTTGCTGACATCTATCTGCCTTCCAAACAATAGAAAATGCACAGTGTTTGCAATCCCAAGGAGATCAACCTGCAATCACCAGTGATGAAGGTTAACGTTGGAGCATAGAACAGACTGTTAGGCATTAACAATGATATTGATTGTAAGTAGCTGCATAGTTTCTACATACAAGTTGAAGCATTTATTTTGAGCCACAAAGTTATGGCTTCAGTAAACAGTTTTCTGGTTACTATAAAAGATGTTCAGCTTTACTTTATCCAACTAGTTTTTTTGCAGATACATTTTCAATCTTGGGTTGTTGGTGCACTCAGGTGGTTTGAGCCGACACCATGCTGTTGATAATGCTGTGAGGTTTGGCATCAGGGTGTTTGGTCCTGAACCAAGGCTGCTCTTAGATTATTCTGTCCCTAATGAGACTGCAACATCTTTATCTCTGACTTAAGTGTGACTATTGTCTGATGCACTGAAACTCCAATTAAAACATTTAATTACACGCTATTGTAGCTGACACAAATGTCTGCATCACAGCACTTTTAGTACAGTTATTCTCTCTCACTGTCCAGACTGAGATGCTTATGTCAATGTTAAATTACCTTAAACATCATATCACTAACTTATACATTTTCATTAAACTACACAGGGCAACTTATCCAAGAGGCTAGTTTTTCCACTGGTGAACTGAAACAGTTAGCATCAGCAAGTTATTCAATCACTACTTTTCAAGTGGGACTTGAACCTGGAACTCCTGCAACAGCCCTCTTACTATTTTTTTTATTAACCTATTTTTCTATCCAATCTGTTCAGAGATCAAGCAGATGGGACTTGAATCCAGGCCTGTTGGTCTGGGGTAGTGTCACTACCACTATGCCACAAGAGGGTCAATTCTGGCATCATCCTGGCAAATATTTGGCGTCTGCTAGCTATAAGGAGAGGTTGGACAGATTTGGAATGTTTTTGCTCAAAAGATAATTCATTACATCTGGACTCTCAAATTGAGTATTTAGCAGAGAAGGCATCATCTTACTGTTCAAAACGGATCCGCACTAAAGAATGAACAGTAAGTAACTGTTTTAAAATTTAAACGATGACCCAAATTTTAAACCAAGTTTAACGGATTATAGCTCAGAAAAAGGATGGAATATGCTTAAGATAGCGTGGTGGAAGGAGTAAACAATAGGCTAGCTATAATCAGTTCTGAAGAGGAGTCACTGGATCCAAAACATTACTCTGCCTTATCTCCATAGGTGCTGCCAGACTTGCTGAGATTTTCCAGAAATCTGTCTTTGTTTCGGATTTCCAACATCCACAGGTTTAAAAAAATTAAATCGTCAATAAAGAGATTCAAAGATTGAGGAGGGTTCCATATATTTTGTCCACAAAGGCTGTATTGACTCAGAGCTCACAGACAAGTAATCATTTACATCTCAAAAAATGCATAACACATTCTTCGATAATAAATACATATTTTAGTGCTGAACAACGTCACTGATTAGTTAACCTCAGTCAGATCATCGAAAAATACACAAAGATACGTATAGTGACATGTACAAGTCCTGCCCTTGTTTAGAGTCATACAGCACAAACAGACCCTTCAGTCCAACCAGTCCATGCCAAGCATAAACCCAAAATAAGCTAGTCCAACCTGCCTGCTCCTGGGCCCATATCCCTCCAAACCTTGTTTTGCCAAAATGCAACATCTCACCATGCTGTATAACTCAATAAATCAATGATATTTATCCAAATTAAACTCCACCTGCCATTCCTCAGCCCACTGATCCAATTGATCAAGATCTCTTTGTAATCTTTGATAACTTTCTTCACTGTCCACTATACCACCAATTTTGGTGTCATCCGCTAACTTACTAACCATGCCTCGTGTATACTCATCCAAATCATTTACATAAAATGACAAACAAAAAAGTGAACCTGGCACCGATCCCTGTGAAACACCACTGGTCACAGGCCTCCAGTCCAAAAAACAACCCTCCACTCTTAAACGAAAGGTGTAAACAGACAAAGCCAAGAAACCCCAACACTGTCCCCATCAGGCACTCCCGGCAGCACTAGGTAAAACCCACTCTGCTCTTTCGAAACAAACTAAAGCTGTCTTTAATTTGTAAAACAAAAATAAAGACCCTACTACTCTGGAGGAAAACAAAAACAAATAAACAAAAACAAAAACGAAAAAAAAAATGGCTCTCTTGACTCCATCTGAACCAACCTCTTTTGGGCAGGGACCACAACGGGCAAAATAAAAACAAAAACAAAAACAAACAGACTCCAGCAAAATTAAAAATGCCAAATAAACAAACAAACAAACAAACAAACAAACAAACATCTAAATAAATAAATCCCCTCTGCTCCACCCCCATTGAATACTCCTGGGACAGGGATAACAATGGTTTAATATTCAGAAGATGTTCCCCTGCTCATTTCAAGTAAAGATAAAACTCACCTCTTAGCAATCCCCATCGAGCACATCCGAGATACGGACAGTACGGGGCTAAAATAAAAGCCCCCTTGGCTCTTCAAAGGGGTCCAAAATCGGAACAAAAGGAAAATAAAACAGCCCACTCCCTGGGGCACCAAACTGAAAACTAATGCAAACTCAAAAGGCAAAATGGAAACTTATACTGCTGAGGCAATGAACTAAATCAGAAAATCATTATCCAGGTTGATAATGCACTCCAACCCCCTCAATGCCCAGTGGTCTTGAAAGGCCTCGAACGTGCCAGCAAGCACTGCGTGCTCCTTCTCCTGGGACACCTGAGCGCGGCCGTAACCAGTGCGAACAGCAGCAGACAGACAGTCAGGAATGACAAGCCCCTCTTCGGCCCACTGCCTGGAACCGTTAATAGCCATCTTGGCCAGGCCTAGGAGCAAAGTCACAAGGCGGCTTGCAGACTTGACCGCCCCTGCCTGCACCGGGTGCCCATAGATCAGGAGAAGTGTAACCACAATTTTAACAGCAGCCCTTTCAAAACTTAAGGAGATGCAGATGAATGCACTCAATATACAAGTGGAAGATAGTCTCCTCCATGCATGTGCAACTGGCAACTGGTGAACTTGCTCAGTCTCCTGTTGCACGGGAACGCCGCATGCACCACTTTCCACCCCAGATCCCCGATGTAAGAGGGGAAGACCCCTTTGTAGAGGGCCCTCCACTGGAGATCTCCGCTGCCAAAGGGCAAAGCATTACATCAAGGCATGTCTGGGTGGCGGGTGAAGGCACAGCAGTGGAGTGTGTGCAGCACAAATAGCACCTGTGTCATTCGGAAGGGCACCAGGAGAATATCCCCGAGACGGCTCAGATTGTGGGGCACCATGTCATGGGTCAGTGTCATGTTCCGGACCAACAGGGGTCAGATTGTCCAGAAGCCCACCGCATGCCTGAGCTGCTACGAATGCACGCGAGATGTTGGGACCAAGTGCCTTATCCATCTGGCTTGGGTCACAAACTGGAGGTGGACCGATATCCTCTCAGTCAACTGTGCCGATGTTATCAAGCCCGCTCCTCTGCGTGTCCTCAACTCTGGTCAGCCCTGCATCCCAAGCTCTCTCCTCCCTCGGCCATTACAAACCGCGCACAAGGAGGAAGCTGTTCCTGGGCAGAGGCTCCCTGACAACAGCCGCCACTCCCACAGGGGGAAGAGCTCCAGTGCAAGCCAACCATGTCCCAGACTGTGATCAGCTCCAGAAAGAAGACAGGCAATTCCTGGAAGACGACCAGAGGCCAAGACCACTCCATGAACAGGAACTGTGAGATGTAATGGGGCCGCATGTGATGGAAGAAACGTGTCATCACCTTGGAGGAGGCTCAACATAAAAATATGGGTGCAGGGTCTGAAGGTGGAAAGTTGCTACCTGAGGGTGTGAAGGCACACCAGTGCCTGGCCACTCTCCTCAAGTGGGAGGCTCAGAACCACAGCAGCAACCCAGGGTTGCCTGTTGTCTCAGAAAAATTCAATGGGCTTTTTTGGGATGGTGGTGACAAAGCCGGGAGAAGGACCAAGTGACCAGCTGGTACCACATGGTTTATGACCAGCATTCACGCCTTGTAAGGCAACACACGGATCAGTGCTGAAAAGTGTGCTAGGTGAGCAGTCACTTTAGTTTCCAACTTGTACTAATTCGCCAGCCAGGATTCCTCTGCAGGGCAAAGACGGACTCCCAGGTAGAAGAGGTGAGCGGTATTCCACCTGAAGCACTGCAGCTCCTCCGGCTGGGGGCCCATCTGCCACGGACTGACCAGAAGTCCCGAACAATTGCTCCAGTTGCAGAGGACACCACAGATTAGAACTCTGGCATTCGTGTATTCTCCGCAAACCAGCTGGATCTGCCAACCTGAGGAGCGTGTTGTTGGCGTATGCCGAAAGAACCACTTCCAGCCCCAGCCCACGCAGCGCTAAACCAGAAAGCTGTTTATTCAAGGGGTGTAGGAATGGCTCCACGCAGAGAGTGTAAATCTGGCCGGACAGGGGGTTAGCCCTGATACACACTTCTCCCAAAACGCAAGGGTATCATCAGCAACTCCACTGCAGTGCACAGAAGTTGGATCCAGGTTACAAAGTGCATTCCGAACCCGAAAGCTCGCAGAGTCCCAAGCAGATACTCATGACCCACTGTGTTGAACACCCTTTCCTGATCAAGGGGGAGAAAGGCACTCGACAGGCCAGCCTTCTGGGAATAATGATGTTGACTTGGATACCCTGGCCTGGAATGGTGCAGGACTGCTCTGGGAGGATCATTTGGTCCAGCACAGTGCCAAGGAGAGCAGAAAGTGCCCTGACAAAAATTTCATAGTCCATGCTGAGGTGGTAGACCAGACACCAATTCTTTAACAAATGGAGATCCCTCTTCTTAGGCAACAGTGATAACGGCCCTGCGCCAAGAAAGGAGCATCTTTCCACTCGCGATACATTCCTCCAGAGCCAGGGCACATTCACATCCCAGAATGCCCTGAGGAACTCCACAGTCAGCCCATATTTTTATGTTTCAATGGTTTCACTCCTGAAAAATACAAATTACCAAGTGACTTTCAATCAGATCACACCAGGCTTAACTTGGGCTATGTAGGTCAGCGAAACGTCACCCTTTTTCTCTCGAGATGGTTTGGGTCAACCAAGTACCTTACCAGGACATTTGAGGGTACCAAAAGTCAACCACATTGGTAGATTTGGAATCATAGGCCAGGCTGGGTATGTTTGGCAGGCTTCCTCTCCGAAGGGCACGAGTGGGCCAGATGGGTTTTGTAGTTCAAGACCATAAGGTCTTGCCGCAGAAGTAGGCCATTCAACCGATCAAATCTGCTTGTCATTCAATGAGATCATGGCTGATCGGATAAACCTCAATTCCACCTTCTCGCCTTTTCCCTAGAAGCTTCAAGTTTCTTACTAATCAAAAATTTCTCTCACCCTGGTCCTACACAAGAGGAAATATTTCTGCTTCTACCCTGTCAAGTCCCCTAAGAATTGTGTATATTTTTCCTTAGATAAGGATCCCAAATCTGCCTTGTATAGTTTAAGCAAAAACTTACCCATTTTTATACTCTATCCCTTATTAAAAAAGGGCAACTTCCCATATGCCTTCCAATTGCCTGATAAAATTTGTCAAGTAGTTTTTTTAAAATTTATGCACAAAAATCCCTGCAATGTAGCTTTCTACATGATTTCTCCATTTAACATTCGTTTCCTCTATTCTTTCTGCCAAAGAGCATTGTAACATTTTCCCACAATATATTCCCATCTGCCAGGCTTTTGTCTGCTCACATAACCTGTCTGTATCCCACTTGCCTTCCCAGCTATCTGCGTCATCTGGAAACACGGCTATAGCATATTCACTTTCCTCATCCACGTCATTAATATAAAAATAACTAACTAATCCCTGTGGGACTCTTAGTTGTGGGTCGCCATCCTGAAAATGCTCCCCTCCCCTTATCCCAACTCTGTCTTCTATTAGTTTAACAATCCTGTATATTTAATACATGGGTTCTCATTTTATCAAGTAACCCAAAATGTGGTACCTTACCAAATGCCTTTTGAAAAATCCAAATATATTACATCCACTGCTTCCCCCCTTATCTATCCTAGTTGTTACCACCTCAAAGAAGTTTAATAAGTTTATCAAGCATGTTTTCCCTGTTGTGAAGCCATGCTTGCTGCATGATCATATTATCTACTTCCCAACTGAAGAAGTTAGGCTAACCCGCCCAACTTGTTTTTGTGTCTCCCTTTTCAAATAAAAAAGTTACACTGGAAAATTGCCAACGCTTTGGGACTTGTAGGAATCCTTTGATTCTGAAGATTATGATCAGTGCAACTACTTTTAACATCGTGGAATGTATCTCATGTCTAGAGGATTTATCAGTCTTTAGATCCATTAAGCTCCCCTAGCAGTTTTTCTTTAGTGACAGTTACAATATTCTTCTCAATTTTCCAGTTGTTATTTATTAATTTGTGTCTTCCACCATTCATGATTATTAATGGGGATATCCTATAATTCCAGATTAAAATCAAATTCAAGTCTTCCAGGTGCCATGGTGCTCCAGAATATTATTGTAGGCCTCTGGATTATATAACTAGTAACATATAACCATTAACATAACCACTTCACTGTCATGCCGACTCTATCAGGAAGTGTCCACATACGGAAGATTTAGCTTTTAAAAATATTTATTCATTTACAGAATGTAGATGTTGTACATAAGACCAGCATTTATCATCCATCCCAAATGACCCCAGGGAAGGTGGTGGCAGCAGCAAATTGCAGTCAATGCAATGTTGGAAAAACAGACAAAATGCACACAACAAATCCTACAAACAGCAATGCAATGTTCAATATTTACTCCTTTCCAAGTGACAGTCACTCTAAATTATTGCCATTCAAATGGATTTTGAGCAGCTGCTCCTTGTGGGTGATAATTAGCCATGCAGATGAAAAATGTCTTGGTTTCATTTACCAATTAGCATTCCACTAGTCGAGGTCAGCATTTTGCCCTCGCAAAAACAGGAAGGTGAAAATGTAGAAAAACAGCCCATCACCACCTTCTATTGGTATTTGGAGTCTAAACTGGAGTACCCTGTTCTCTTAAGGTTGACTAGCCAACTACTTAATTTGGTTGGTCTTCGTAGCTTGCTAGGTAAAAAAGTGAGCTGTTAATAAATTATAGCGATGTATCATTATGTCATAACTAAATACAAAGGAGAGAAGTAGAAAAGGGAAAAAAAGCACAACTCTCAACTCCAAAGCAGGATAAACATGCACCAGATCAATATTACTGGGCAAGGTGATAAAACACCATCATGCACTAGCCAGCACAACTCGAATAGTGTTTATTAAATAGGAGTGAAAACATTAGTTGTGTATTAGATCAATCTAGATTAGTGCCTTAATGGCAGCTTACCTGGTAGGCATTAGTGCACTCTAGCAGGAGCTCTTTATTTGATAGCGATTGCACTGTAGGAAATTTCATAAACTTGATGACATCAGACTGCAGCTTCAGGTCCAAGCTGTAGGTGAAGTCCATGAGCTTCACTAAACCATCACTGCTGGGGCACACAGAGTCGTTATAAAACCTAGGGAATGAACACAGATGAGCCAGTTTAAATGGGCATATCTCAAAAGGTGGTACTTAGTGCAAAGCTTTGTGCAATGCTTTTCTTTCCCTTTCTACTCCTCACCTTTGTATCCAATTATAACATGATATATAGGTATAATTCGTTAACAGCTTACTTCTATCTAGCAAGCCACAAAAACGAACCGAATTAAGTAATTGGTGAGTCAACCTTAAGAGAATAGGGTACGTCAGTTTGTACTCCAAATACCAGATGATGATGATTCTGGGCTGCTTTTCTACATTTTCATCATCATCTTTTTCCATGGGTTGTATTTTCAATAACCCAGTGTACTAATTAAGAGGCAGATGGAAATGTAGGCCATTATATTTAGACAAGCAACATTCTGATACAATCATCTTGGCATACAAACTCAGCACTCCGTTGATTAGGGGTTCAGTGCAAGTTATCGTGCTGGTGTGCAAACTGAAGTTTTTGAGTGCACGATAGATGGGTCACAAGTTCATTTCATCTGGTTTGGCCTTCTCAAACTAAAATATCCAAACGGTAATCACTAACATGACTAGCTTCAGAGGCTGAAAAGTAGCACAGCCAAAATTAGTTTGTTTAAATCCACATACATATGGGATGCCCAAGACACACAAGTGATGCGCCCAATATTTTCTACGACTGGTTCTTCACAACAGGAACTCAGCAAATTGCTATATGCTGAGCAAGGTTTCCATGTAAACAGACCATACCAAACTTGCATTTCAAAAGCAATGCAATATCTACATGCTTATTTGACATTGCTAGCCTATTGTCCAGTTTAAGGACATCATAGTGCAGTGCAGCATTATATTGTTGCAATCCAGACCTGACACTATTATGTGAATCAGCAGTCACTGAAATTATGAACCCAGCAACCTACGTTGTTGAGTTTTGTTTTAACATGTATGCCCACATAGATGACAAATCCATTGAATCCCCATGAGGCCTGGATCTTGCAAATATCTTTGTTGGGTTCATTAATAAAAAAGTGGTTTGATGCAATAAAGATCTAAACTTTCACCCCATTAAATTTTTAATACGTTAACGATATACTTGCTATATTTGGATCTGCAGCTGCATGTCTAAATTTATTCCACTTCTTAACAGGCTCTAGTCTGCACTCCAATTCACCTTTGAAATGAAGCAGACAAATGAGAACCCTTTCCACGATATCCTAGTTGAGAAATCTGACAGGATTCGCTGTTGCTGCAAGTCTACTTCCACTACTCAGCTTATGCATTGCTTACAACCAATTTAAAGACGACCAGTCAAGTTTGCAGCACGGCATATTTGCACATACCAGAAGCTATACATACATATGATAATACATATGGCCTTGTATTTTGCAGACAGACAGACCAAAAGAATATGTTACACCTGCTTCAGTTTGACAAGATAAACAACATTTTTTCTCTAGCCCAGTTTTCTAGACAATGCCTTGATTGGAATCAACTTGCCCGGTTTAAATTTGAAGCTTGGCAGTTAACTATCAATCATCATCTAACTGGTGCATTCACCATAGTGAAACCTGTACCAGAGGTGCCCACTGTTCAGGCCAATGCAGCCCGATTGATTGGTACAACATCCACAAATATCAACTCCCTCTACCATCACTGATACTCAGTAGCAGCATACCATCTACAAGATGCACTGCAGAAATTCAAAGCTCCCCAGACATCACCTTCCAAACCCACAACTGGTTCCACCTCGAAGGACTAGGGCAACAGACACATGAAACCACCATCTGCAAGTTCACTTCCAAGTTACACGTAATCTTCACTTGGAAAAATGTCACAGTTCCTTATTATTGTTGCGTCAAACTTTTGAAACTCCCTCCCGAGCAGTATGGGGTTGGGGTGTCTACCTACAGCATTTGAATTAGTGTTTCAAGAAATCAGCTTACCACCATCTTCAAGGGAAACTAAGGACAGGTGAGAAATGCTGGCCCAGCCAGCAATTGCCCAGCTCTCATGAATGATTATCAAAAGAAGTCCTCTTGCCAACCAATCGGCACTGTCATCTCATACAGCATATAGTGTTGATTTCTCTTGAAATTCTTACAAATTACCATGAATGCAAGACAAAACACTTATTAAATAAGTTGGTTTTCAGCAATACTCCATATTAGTTTAAATGGGACACAGCAGCAAAGTCAAATAAAATGTCTAAAGTGGTGAATCTGCCATGGATGACCCAAGCATTAGTGCTTTCACACTGGAAGTTGCAAGTGAATCTAAATAGCACTGAAATAACCACTGCATCATAATCATCTGGAGATGTATTGTACAGCAACAATGCTTAAAGTTCAAAAGCTGCCAGACAAATGCAAATTCTCTGTGGTGTTCGATCCTTTGATCGACAATGACAACAATTTCTTCTTGCTATTACCAAAATCTCAATCCTTTCTTCCATTATGGAAAAAAATGTACAGAAATTCAAGCAGGTGGAAGTGGCTTCCTTCATTGTTTGTAGCCCCAATTTATGATGAAATATGGTCAGTAAGATTCAGCATTATGCGGTGTAATAGTTTGCACAGACTGAGGCAAAAATCCAATACTAAGCTACTGAAAATTGAACTCTAGCTCCAACCCATTGCTCAAAATTATCCCAACGTCATGCAATAAAAGGTAATATACTGCTGAAAGCTTTGTAAAGCAGGTTAAACTAACCTGTCATCCATGAAGAGTGTTTCTGGTGCTATGCCCCCATGAACAATTTCAGCTGTGTGCATCAGTTCCACTAAAGCCAGTAAGTCAAGTGTCAGAAACACCACCAGTGCTTCTGGCACAGTTTCCCACACCCGAGACAGACCCTATAAATGGAAAACAAAAAAAGTGAACAGCTACAGAATGCAAAGACAGTTTAGCCTTGACTGTTGTGGATTAAGCTTTATTTTCATGAGTAGAGAAATGACTCAAAATCCATAAAATAATTTGTACAAAAGGTATCAAGAAATACCAGCAACTTTACTATTCACTAATGTGGCATTTCAGAAAATCTGACAAAATGCTAACCAGTAACAAACTATAAGTGGCAGAGAAGTCACCTCTAACATGCAATTATTATACTAAAATGAATTGCATTCTATTGTGTCCTATACAAAAATAATCAGGGATCACTGGAATTTTCTATTTTTAAGTCTTCTTTCTCTCCTTGCCATTTAAAATGCATAATAGGTTAAGCTGGCATATGGCTCTGATGTTCTGGTTGTCCTCTGGTTCCTTAGCTAACTAGCTACCCTTCAGACAAATGAAAAAATATGCTGCAGTCATGTCAAGGACTCAGGGGTTAGATGGATATGTGGTTAAGGATAATGCCAAGACCACAGGTTCGATTTCCATTCTGACTGAGGTAGACTTCAGATTTGCCTCCTCACCCTGCCAGAGACTGGAAGACAATAACAAACCACCATTGACAAAAAATGCCATGGGAATCAGTTTCAGAATCATCAGCAGACAATGGATCTGCTTTCAGGCACAGCACTCATGAAACAAAATAGAAACCAAGCCCTAGATTGTTCTGATTGAATACATGAAACATTTAGTAATGGAGTTATGAGATATGGTCTGGGCAACAGTGACCCTTATTTCCTGCCCCTTCCTGATTAGGCTACAATAGTAGCAGCTACACTAGGACAGATAAAGTTAGACAGGTCTTCCTCAACCATCTCAATCAATAAATTCATCTCCTGATGTTGTACTAATTGAGTCATTGATCACAGTTGTCAGATAATTACTTCCTAGGAACAGATCAACAGGATTAGGCCAAATCAGCCCCAGGAGCCTGCTTTGGACCTATATCCATTGATGCTTTTGCTTAATAAATGTATATATCAGTTTTTAAATTTAACAAGTGAATTCAGATCGACTGCTGCTTTAGGAAGAGACTTCCAAACCTCCACTAGAGTGTAGAAGCGCTTTGAGAACTCGGAGTAATCCTAATTCTTAGACTATACCCCCAGTTCTACAGCCTTCAAACAGTGGAAGCAGTATATAGCGTTATCTTATCTAACCCTCACATCCTGAAGACCACTTCTTTAACCTTCTAAATTCTAAACAAAAAAGACCTAACTTGTTTAAACTCTGCTCATAATTTAAACCCTGAAGTCCAGATATCATCTTTATAAATCTGCGTTGAACAGCATTGGCTGTCTCCACTGTGAAGAGAGTTCCATGAATCAGTTGTCATTCCTAATTCTCTAAAAGTAATGATAGCTATTTTCCCATCCCACCTGCCACCTAAAGAACTAGTATGGAGATGCAGCAAGTTATTCACCACTGCCCCAAGATAACAGATATTGTACATCTCTCCACGATGATCTCACCTGTAGAGTTTCGCAGTTCTTGCCCTGATCCACTGTCACACATCCATTGTCAAACAAATAGCAGCTGTGATTCTGACTGAAGTAATTATTAAACTTGGAACCAAGCCTCATCTTAAGTTGCTGATTGATGTAGAAGTCCCAAGGCACTGTGTGTGACTGCACCTGTTTGAAGGAAACGATCAAAGTTCAGTGAATATGTATGCCTAATATTACATGCATTTCAAATACAGGAGACTTGCAAAATGCCAGTAGTTACCCAAAACTTGGTCCATATCCTAATGTGCACCATGTGCCACTCACTAATTACCTGCCCACTTAGAGATTCTTTGATCAGCAATGTCCCAGTTTCAAAAACCCTAATCGGGTTTAAAGGTTTTGCAAAGATTTGTAGCTCGGGTTGTGGGTGAGGTTGTTGACTTGCTCGCCGAGCTGGCTTGTTTTAGTTCAGATGTTTCATCACCATGCTAGGTAACATCATCAGTGAGGCCTCTGATAAAGCAATGTTGTTCTACTCTGCTTGGAATTTATACTGTCCTGTCTGTTACGGTGAGTTGTGTCATTTCCGGTTTGGTTTTGTAAATGGGGTCCAATTCTATATGTTTGTTGATTGCATTATGGATTGAGAAACATGCCTGTAGGAATTCCTGGTGTGTATGTATGTTTGGCTTAGGCTACTATGGTTACGTTGTCCCAGCTAAACTGATGGCATTCATTGTCCAAGTGTACTGATATTAGGGAAAGTTTGTTGTGTCATTTTGCTGCTAGCTGATGCTTATGTATTCTGATGACTAGTTTCCTTCCTGTCTATCCAATTAATGCTTGTGGCAGTCATTGCATGGTATTTTGTAAACTATATTGGTTCTGCATATTGTGGGTATGGGGTCTTTAATCCTGGAGTGTTTGTCGTAGCATGGCAGCACACAAGCCCACAGCCATAATTCCCAGTGGTCGTACGAGTCTCGTTGTCAGTTCTGATATGTTCTTGATGTAGGACAGTGTGGCCAGTGTGTTAGGGCACACTGTATCCTCTTGGTGTTGTCCTGCAGATGAAGTTGTGGGGATAGCGAAGATTTTGTATAGGTGCTCTTCCTCTTTGCTGTGTAGTTCTAGCATGTTGCCATGAGTGATGGCCCGTTTAAATAGTGTCCTAACACAGCTTTGTTTGTGGGCATTGGGGATTTGGTCAGTGTGGGTTGCTTTCCTGTATTACCGAGGTTTGGAACTCCCCCGTTGGTCATATGTTCAACCCTGATGTCCAGAAATGGAAGCCGATTGTTGTTTTCGTTTTCTCTTGGGAATTCAATCCCGGCGAATACTTCATTGAGGTGGTAGTGGGTCTCTTCCAGCTTGGTGCGTTTAATGATAACAAATGTCATCCACATACCAGATCCACAGTTTAGGTTGAATGAGGGGGAGGGTAGTGTGTTCTGGATTTTGCGTGACTGTGATAGATGGGGTACAAGTTAAGCTTTGTCCTGAACTGTATTAAGCCACTAAGTATCGCACATATCTAGGCAAGTGAAAACTATTCTACACCCATGATTTCCTGTTATGTACAGCAAGTGGGAGCCATTGAGACATCACGTGAAAATATATTAGCCATCTACACCAACTTTACTATTCAGTATAGCCAGGTGCACAGTAAAAGGGAGGGAAAAGACTCTGGTTTAAAGTGCACTTATTTCAACGCACGAGGCTTGACTGGTAAGGCAGATGAAGTCAGAGCATGGATTGGCTCTGGGGACTAGGATATTATAACCGTAACAAACATGGCTGAGAGAATGGCAGGTCTGACAGCTCAATGCTCCAGGCATGACAGAAGTACAAGTAAAAGTAAGTGAGGAGGGGTAAGTTGCCCTTTTGATAATGGACAACACAGCACTGCTTAGAGAGGATATTCTTAAGGGGTCATGAGGCCATATGGTTAGAACTCAGAAACAAGGAGGGGGATGATCACTGTTGGGACTGTATTATAGACCCCTAAGTAGCCAGCGGGTACTAGAGGAGATGTGTAGAGAGAGTGCAGATACCTGAAGGAATAATAGAGTAGTATTGGTTGGAAATTTCAATTTCCCCTGTATTGACTAGGCCACCCAGAGTGTAAAAGGCCCAGACAGGCTGGAATTTGTCAAACGCGTCCGAGAAAGTTTCCTAAATCAATATGTAGAGGGCCCTATTTGGAGGCTGCAACACTGGACCTCCTCTTAGGAAACAAGGTCGGGCAAGTGACTGAAATGTCAGTCGGACAGCACTTTGGGTCCGGTGACCGCAACGTAGTTTTATCATAATTATGGATGATGATAGGACAGGTCCACAGTTTAAAAGGTGCTGAACTAGCGCAGAACCAATTTTGGGGCCATTAGGCAAGGTCTGGCAGAGGTTGATTGGGTGAGTCTGCTTGAAGGAAAAGGAACAATTGGCATTTAGGAGGCTTTTAAAAGTGTGATATCAAGTCCAGGGACCGTATGTCCCTGTTAGGGTGAAGGGAAAAGCTGGCAGGTTTAGGGATCCCTGGCTGACAAGGGATACTGAGGCTCTGCTAAGGAAAAAGGCAGCATTCATTGGGTTTTAACTATCAGGTAAATCTCAAGTGAATCTCTAGATGACACTAAAAAGTGTAGGAGCACACTCAAAAGGGAAATCAGAGGGGCAAAAAGAGGGTATGAGATGGATCTGGCAGATAAGGTTAAAGATAATCCCAAGAGGTTCTATAGCTATATTAAGAGTACGAGGGTGGCTAGGGAGAGACCAGGTCCCCTTAAAGATCAGCATGGCAGTCTGTGTGTGGAGCCACAGGAGATGGGGGAGATTTTTAATGGATTTCTCCTCAATGTTTATGGAGAAGATAATCATGGATGCTAAGGAAATAAGAGAAACAAGTGGGGATGTTTTGAACTGCATACATATTACCAGAGAGGAGGCGTTTGCAGCCTTAAAAGCACATTAAAGGTGGATAAATCCCCTGATCAAGTCCATCCTCCGATGTTGTGGGAGGCTACGGAAGAAATTGCCGAGGACCTTGCAGAGATTTGCGCTTCATCTTTGGCCACTCATGAAGTTCTGGAAGACTGCAGGGTGACTGATGTTGTTCCATTGTTTATGAAGGGTAGCAACGACAAGCCAGGGAACTACTGGCCAGTGAACCTGACATCAGTGGTAGGCAAGTTATCGGAGAGGATACCGAGCAACAGGATCAACCAACATTTGGATATTCAAGGGCTGATTAGGGGCAGTCAGCAATTTATTTGTGCACAGGAAGTCATGTCTGACAAATCTTTGAGTTTTTCGAAGAGGTAACCATGAGAATAGATAGGGTAGGGCAGTGGATGTTGTCTAAATGGACTTTAGTAAGGCCTTTGAGAAGGTCCTGCACCACAGCCTAGTCACTGAAAGTTTGCATGGGATCCAGTGAGAGCTAATTGGATTCAAGATTGGCTCAATGGTGAATGACGTGATGATTGAAGGCTGTTTCTCAGACTGGAGGACTGTGGCTAGTGGTGTGCCAATAGGGGTCGGTGCTGGGACCTGTGTTATTTGTTATGCATGCAACTGATCTGGATGTGAACGTAAAAGGCATGGTAAGTAAATTTGCAGATGATACAAAATTAGGAGGTTTTGTCGATAGTGAGGAAGGTTATCAAAAATTAGAGGGATCTTGATCAGATGGGGAAGTGGGCTAAGAATTGGCAAATGCAATTCAATACAGATAAATGTGAGGTGTTGCACTTTGTAAAGTCAAACCAAGGCAGGACTTATGAAGTAATTGGTAAGGTCCTAAGGAGTGTTGTGGAACAGAGGGACTTAGGACTACAAGTACATAGTTCGTTGAAAGCGGCATCACAAGTAGACAGGGTGGTGAAGGCAGCATTTAGCATGCTGACCTTCATCAGTCGAGGCATTGAATAAAGGAGTTGGGACGTTATATGTTACAGTTGTACAAGTCATTGATGAGGCCACACTTGGGAGTATTGCATACAATTTTGGTCACCCAGTTACAGGAAAGACAGTTAAACTGGAAAGCGTGCAAAGATGATTTACGAGAATGTTGCCAGGACTAGTAGGCCTGGAGTTAAAGGGGGAGGTTGGCCAGGATAGGACTTTATTCTTCAGAATGTAGAAGAATGAGGGGTGGCCTTACCGAGGTGTATAAAATCATGAGGGGCATAGATAGGCTGAATGCTTATAGACTTTATCGCAGGGATGGGGAATTGAAAACTAGAGGGCATCTGTTTAAGGCGAGAGGTGAAAGATTTAAGAAGGACCTGAAGTGCAATTTCTTCATGTAGATAGTGATGCGTATATGGAATAGCCCGCCAGAGAAAGTGGTTGAGCAAGTACAATAACATTTAAAAAACATTTGGATAGGTATATGAATGGCAAGGGTCTAGAGGGATATGGACCAAATGTGGGCAATGGGAACTAGCTGAGTGGGCATCATGGTCAGCATGGACCAGTTTGGGCTGAAGGGACTGTTTCCATGCCGTATTACTCTGAGGCCCCGTAGTCATGGCCAAGTGGTTAAGAAGATGGATTAGAAATCCATCAGGGTTTCCCCGCGCAGGTTCAAATCCTGCCGGCTACATTTCCTCAAGTTGACAGTCTGTGTGGAGTTTGCACATTCTCCCAGTGTCTGCGTGGGTTTCCTCCCACAGTCCAAAGATGTGAGGGCTAGGTGGATTGGCCATGCTCAATTGCCCCTAGTGCTCAGGGATGTGTAAATTAGGTGGGTTATCAGGGGATGGCTCTGGGTGGGATATTCAGAGTGGGTGAGGACTTGTTGGGACGAAGGGCCTGTTTCTACACTGTAGGGGTTCTATAATCTATGACTCTAAGTGCAAACAGGCTAAATAGGGGCCTAGTAGGATCCTGTTTTCTATTGACAGCCAAATATCAGGAAAGTGTTGAAATGTTTCTGACAGTTATTACATGTTTGAATGACTTTTTTTCCCAAGTAACTAGGGATGTGATACAACAGGACAGGCATTGAAATTTTGACAGATTTATCTCCTTCACCAGTGATCTACAGGTGGATTTTAACACACCCACATCTGAAGGCAGGCTGACTAATGCAACACAGGAGCTGATTTTTTTTTTTTGTACAAGTACAAATAACTCGGCAACATCCTCAGACTCTGCTGTTAATTTATTCAGAGAGCTT